AATAAAATAAAATAAAATAAAAAAACACCGAATTTTGATCGTTTGAAGCTAAACTGAGAATAAAGGAGATATTTGACGTGCAACTTGTAGAACATAATATATGAACTTGTAATTTAAAATGTTTGGATTCCAAATGACGTTCATTCAGACAGAGGAAAGTTTTTACTGACCAACAAATAAAAACATTTAACAAACACAACATGTAGAAAAACCTTCTTTTGATAACAGGTATTTCAGTAGAGACGGATTTATACAGCAAAATGCGATGTTGGCTGGATGCAGCGTAACGGCAGCGATGACCTCATAGCTGAGAGACGTTCACTGCATGCGAACCGTTTGAGGAAGGGAAGCCGTTGACCCCTCCAGAGGTGAAACACATCCTCTCCATCTAAACGCTTCCTCCATCTGTGTGGAGGATTCTGTGTTTGGCTAAATGTGACTTGCAGTTAAATCTCTGGCCGCAGACGTCGCAGCCAAACGCTTTGGCTCCGCTGTGAGTCGTCATGTGTTTGTTCAGATGAGCCTTTTGGTTAAATCTCTGGCCGCAGACGTCGCAGCTGAACGGTTTGTCACCTGTGTGGATTCTCAGGTGTCTCTTCAGCGCCGACTTCTGGACGAACCGTCGTCCACAAACATCACAGTCAAAGGATTTGATCTGCATGTGGATTTTCATGTGCTTGTTCAAGGCGGACTTCTGCATCAATCGTTGTCCACAAACGTCACAGCCAAATGGTTTCTCTCCTGAATGCAGGATCTGGTGCAAGTTTAAATGTGACTTCAAGTTAAATCTTTGATCACAAACAGAACATCTGAACGGTTTCTCCCCCGTGTGAACGCGGATATGTTTGCTCAGGTAGGACTTCAGGTTAAATCTTTGCCCACAGAAATCACAGCCATAGGGTTTCCCCCCTGTGTGGATTTTAGCGTGTTTGTTTAAGTTAGATTTTTGGTTAAATCTCTGCCCGCAAACATCACAGCCAAACGGTTTCTCCCCGGTGTGGATCCTCATGTGTATGTGAAGGTAGGACTTCAGGTTAAAACTTTGTCCGCAGATGTCGCAGCCAAAGGGTTTC